AACACTCTCAGTAATGATGTCAGTCTCATGGACCATTAGGCAGAAGATTGACAGCATGCTTGACTATGCTTCATTTGATGACACTGCTAAACTGGTTCCCATATAAACTTCATATCAAGATCAATTGGGAAGATGTCTCAAACATTGTGTTTAAAAAAGGAGGAAATCATGTGGGAAGTCATTCTAGTGCTTTTTAACAGTCTCCCAGAAATTTTTCTAATATGTAGCCAAAGTTGAAAAACATTGCTTTAGAATAAAATGCCTTACTCTTAGTTAAGTATCATTCTTGCCCATTACTAACAACCAGATCTACTCTACAAGTAATAACCCCAAAGGTACAGAGAACTTAGGCTGTCATCTATTATAATGGGCTGTGAATTCATTCAGATTGATTAGTGCCCATGTCTTCAGGTCAACAAATATTTTGAATATTATAGCCACTCATCATGTTATATCTATTCAAAGTCTTAGTGCCAGGCTTTATGTATTAAGAGATTTTAAATTATTAATGAGTTTATCAATTATTTACAAATTATTTTTCATGAGCGTGATCAGTGCAAACCATACTTCAGAATCTAATAAAACTCAAACTCACTGATATAATCAGCTCTTGAATTTTCAAAGCAAAAAGTTTCTTGGCCCAAAATAACCTTAGTGAGGTTACACCAGGGAGAGATGAGATTCAACATGTTCTGGATCTACCCTCTAACAATTGTAGAGATAATATAAAATGCCTGGGTGGAGCAGCAAAGCAGAAATAGCTGATTCACTGTGAGAGCAGTGTTTCCATTGTGCCTGGGAGGGTCAAATAGCATTGAAGCTCTCATTGTCTCCATCAGCTGGAAGAAAACAATTAAGAGGTTGATGGAAGTTGTGTTTTTATACCACTTATAAAATTTTATCAAATTGTTGTTTGTGTCTGGTCTTTCTTTCTTTCTTCTTCTTCGCCCATACTTGTAAACACTCCTGAACTTCAAGGTTCATATGATAGGATTATTTTTTGGATCCCACAGGAACTTTCCAGTTTATATTCTGGGAAATGTTGATTGAAGTTTGGCTTTTCTGGCTTCTCTAAGCAGCCAGAAATGGCAGTGCATGGCAGTAAATGAAGAAAGTCACAACCTGTGTAGGCTTGAGCTTAGATGTGAATAACCTTCAATGTCACCGGCATTTCTAAATATCAGTTCTTGTGTTTCATGTCTAGATAATACTGATGTTTGTCTAACCTCTCCAATGGTGTAGAAATTTAGTTTGTGTTGTAACTTGCAGACATCTCTGCCCTTTTAATGACAAGCAGCTTGAAACTATAGCAAACCAACTTATTGAAGATTAGAAATTACTTTTTTATACTAAGACCAAATTAGTCGTAATGGTTTCATGCATATTTCTGCAGCCATGCTTCAAGAAACACGGTACTTTCTCTCACTAATGGACTCACAAAAGAACCTCTTCTTCTTAAGGAAGGATTTGTCAATATAAGCCAGGTTAAAGCAAAACTGCTAGTGTCCTGGTGGGATAGGTGTGTGTGAGCTTATTCCTGTACCTCCCTGATCTATCACACTGCTGCAGCCCAGGTCCTTCTGAGGGTTTCCTCTGAATATGGTGTGAACCTCCAGGATGGAGAAGTGGTCCTCAGCTATCTCTGGTGCTAAAATTCTGGAATCCTATTTCATATTTTACTGACATGAACCCAGAGGGGGAACTCTGCAAATAGATGCAAAGAGACAAGATGTCATGAACTTGACTTAATGACATGAATGCCTCTCAGAGACATGGCTGCCTTCTTCCAAGACCCTACCTTATGTCTTCTAGTTCTAGATATACTCTCTTCCTAGCTGCTATGATATCTTGATATGTGTCCTTCTCAGTCTCTGTGAAGAACTAGGCCTTGGTGCCCAGTCATTTTCAATGTGTCCTGAGCCAGAAATATGGGGAACTTTTTTTCTGTCCTTTTTCCTTAAAAAAATTAAGAAAGGAAAAAGAGAAAGAGAGAGAGAGAGAGAGAGAGAGAGAGAGAGAGAGAGAGAGAGAGAGAGAGAGAGACATGGGGGTAGGGACTTTTTTTTTTTTTCTCACAATGCTTGACTCCTTAAATTGAAATTCTCATCAGCCTGCACACTCAGCTGGTAAGCTTAGTGAAATGGAAAGTTTATGTGGAGCAGATGTGAACTCCTTGCCTTGTTATGAAAAATCTCCTTTGGATTCTTTTCTTGACAAGGGTGTGCGTGCGAACAAAAATTTTCTGAAACTGCCAAGCACAAACATTCTCACAATGCAGACCTGAGAGCTGGCACAGAATGACTAGAAAAGGATTAGCATCAGCTTCACCTATCAGGGGAGAGCTGCAGGCGCCTCTCTCTGCCCTGCCCTGGGCATGTCCCATCCCTGCATGGCTTGGCATAGCTGCAGGTAGAAAGGGTGAGTTTCAGCTTGCACGTGGCTGCATGGCTTACTACCTGAGTTTGTAGGGTTCGAGAGAAAATTTTAGGAACAAAGGCCAGAAGAAAACCCCATCCTCAAAGTTTGGTGTTAGCTAAGACAGAGAAAAAACAGCTGTGTTTACTACAATGCTGGGTGATTAACAGTTGTATATCATTCAGCAATTAGTATTACATAATTATTTCCGTTATGAAGAATCATTCAACAATAAATTCAGTTTCATTTCCATGTGTATTCAAGACCCTCTATTAACCTTTACTGAGTGTCCCACAGTTTGGTAAATACTTCCACACACATAACCTCACTTAGTCTTCACAGCAAGCCCCCAAATGGGTATGATTTCCTCCCTCTGAATTTAGAGGACTTAGGGTCTTTCCACAAGCACTTAATAGCCACCACTGAACTGATACATAAGCCTTGCTCTCATAACTCCAAAGATATTTCTGTATTTCCCATTTAATAAATGTGGGAGCTGAAGTCAGATATATTCAAGCAAGAATCCAGGCTGTGAACCAAATATATTGATTCTAAATCTGTTTTCTTAAAGTTCTTCCAAGTTCCCTTTAATTCTGACCCCTGCAAATTAGAGTTGCATGGGTACATTGAGATAAGCCCTTTTCATTAGAGGCTCTTGTAAATTTGGGGAGTACAACCCGGCTCACGGTAATTAGGAGCTTAAATAGCCTGTGAATTTGGCCTCAGGATTTCACAGAAATACTGGAATAGGGTTTATGAGGAAGATTCATCTGGTAAATTCTCCAAACTTAAAATTAGGATGTACATCTAGTCAACATGGCCATGACTTTTTTAGTCCATTTTTTAAAAAATTGGGTATGTTCCAAGTTTCATGTTTTGAAATTTTATCATCCAACGAGGTCTCAATGAGAAGAATTAGAACCATATGAACTTATTCAGAGATTAAGCTTCACTTGATACATTCATTTTTGAAAACTTTAAGTTTTAGATTAATGTGCTATATAAAGTTTAGTCAAGCCTGGAAGAGGCGCTTGTCAGTTGAGTAATTCTGTTTGTGCTGGCACCACTCATACTAGTACTTTTTTGCCTTTGTAAGTAAACAGATTTTGTTGCTGAGATCAAGATTAGTTTGAAGGATGAGACTCAAAATGCCCACCCTTGTTCCTACTTGCTTCATTGTTTTCTGGCAATAACTAAAAGACATGATGGGTTTCGTCAGCACTTACGGTGAAAACAATGGTACTTACACACAGGCCTGATCAACTGGCAGCGCTTTTACCTGCTGGATTGAAGTTAGCTAATGAATTAGAATTACTAACCACATATATTTTAAATCAGACCTACAACATTTACTATGTTTAGTTGAGAGATCTGTGGCACAGTTTATACCCATTTTTCAAAAGGAAAGTTTTGTTCATGCATGTTATCTGAAAAAAAAAAAAACTTTCTCACATTACTTCTCAGCTGAGTGAGTGTTCTGAGGTCATAATCTAAATAGCTTTTTCTGAAGATTTAGAAAAAATTGCTTCATTGGATCATTCCACAGGACTAAAATCTCCTTTGTGTAGAGTGTTTGGTTTTGGTGTACCAGTGTGACCATCAAACACTGCAAAAAATAAGATCTATCTTGGGTACTGTTCTATGAAAACTGCTAGTAGATTCAGGAGGTTCTGGTATCATTGCATTTTATATTAGGAAATAGTAGCCTGTCACGGTGAAACCACGACTTCAGGAGAGCTAAGCACTATCCCAAGTAAATGGAAGCCCTTTGAAGTCAAGGGCTTATGTGCAGGTGGATTTTCATTTCTTTTCAGCTCCTACAGTGGTTACCCATGTGCATGCATACACTACACAACCACTTGAGACAACCCTGTGAACCATGTGATTTGGAGTCTAATGAAAGCTTATTTGCAGGGACAATGAGTTTTGCTTAACTTTCTTTCTCCAAGATACCTGGAAACCCTGATCATCCATATCTATATTCTGTATACTCCCAACTCCTCTTTCCCAATCATTTAAAAAAAATTTCCTAGTCCTATTTTCATTTCTACTTAATTTTACATATCCCATAAACTACAAATCTTTGTAAAAATGAGGTAGAGTATAAATATGAATGTACACATGCCCCTAAAATCAGCAATGCCCCGCAGAACAGCTTGCACATAGAAGCACATTTTTTAAAAGAATGAATTATGTTGAATTGAACTAACCTGATTTGCTTCTTTTTTTCTTTCACCTTTTTTATTGGTGCATTTTAGTTGTACATAATGATGGGATTTGTTGTTACATATTTGTACATGCACATAATATAATAATACAATTTGGTCAATATCATTCCCCTTTCCACTCCTCCCCTCCTCTTACTACCTCTGACTTTCTTTTATATCCTCGAAAATAAGAAGGATAACATGCCATCAGCCCTTTTCAGTAGGTTTGATTGTCCTGTCTTTGTTAGATCCCTGATTTGGGTTTGGTCATAAGAGTTAACTGTCTTTCTTTTCACAACTCAATCTGCAAAAGGGTGGGGCTCCTGGGATGTTGGAAAGTTTTGAAGAGTGTGAATCATATTGCTGAAGGCAGAACTTTGGGTACTATTTATTTGAAGGCAGAAGATGCTATCATTTGCAGCAGAATGAACTGAGCGTCAGTCAGAAAAAGTTCCTGTTTACAGAAACAGAGCCAAGAGAAAGGATGAGCACTGCTGGAAAAGTAAGAAAAATGTTCCTGTATCTCATTATGGTGGGCTAACGGTGTGGGCTTGGCTTTTAGAACTTTCGAATCCAGTAAACTAATTAAACATTTGGGGATATTTCTTGAGGAATGACGTGCCTCTTGAGTAGGCATACTGGGGGAAATCCTAGGTAAACTGTTACAGACAGTGTCAATAAAATCGAGGTTAATTTTAAAACACATGTGGAAGGCTTTCCGGTAAAACACAGAGGAAAATAGAATACTGACTTTATTCATAATTTAACTCAGAATAACTGGACATTTCCTCTGTTAAGTAAAATATTTCTATGAGGAGAATTTGAGTAGACTTTAACTGCATTCACCTCAGTAGTTCAATAGAAGATGTGCATCTCCTTCTTGGGAACTGTTAGAAAAATGTCCTGCTGTTGACAATGAAAAATGCCAAATCAATGGAATGCAAAGTGAACAACAAACGTATCATGCTTTTAAGGTTTCTTAAGAATGTATATTCTCTTAGAAAGATATTCTCCAACTCTATCCATTTACCGGCAAATGCCATAATTTCAAAGCAAAATAAGCAAATCCAAAAAAACCAAAGGCCAAATGTTTTCTCTGATATGCAGATGCTAATTCACAAGGGGGTGCGTGGGTGGGGGCACTAGGGAAGAATAGAATTACTTTAGATAGGTAGAGGGGAGTGAAATTAGAGGAGGGGATATGGGGATAGGAAGGACAGTAGAATGAAACAGACATTATTACCTTATGTATATATATGACTGTATGAGCAATGTGATTCTACAACATGTACCATCAGAAAAATGAGAAATTATACCCCATCTATGTATGATATATCAAAGTGTCATGTATAACTAATTAAAACAAATAAAAAAATTTAAAAAGAAAATAAATATGTAGAATTTATGAGAAAATGAAAAAGATACAAAACCACAAAAAAGAACGTATTTTCTATCAAAACATAAGCATAAAAATTCTTTGTAAATAAGACTACATTGTAGAGTAAGTAGTATCCTTTTTAAAAACTAACAGCCAGAGTTGATAGTAACTTCAGAAATAACTTTAACATTTTATTTATCTTTTGCAAGTACATCTGTATAGTTTCTTGCTTTAAATGGGTACACAATTTCCTAAAGTGTCATGTGCCTTTAGTTGTTTTATTCTTATTTAAACAACTTTTCATTTAGCCAAACTTAAGGTTTTGGAAAAATAAAGATGGCATTTGAGGTCTGGATAATGTGATAAGGTAGGAGGCCCTATGATGTTAGAATTTGAAATAATTTTTCCCAGAATTGAACAGAACTGGAAGAGGGAGGGAGGGAGGAAGAGAGAGAGAGAGAGAGAGATTGATTCTAGTTTGGGTCAGAAATCCAGCAAAACTAGTAACTTGAAGAATTAATTTTTCATTACAGAAGCTAGACACTTTACCCATAGAAATCAATGAATCTTATGGTTGAAAGGAATCTTAAAAAAAAAAAAAAATTTGCAACTCCATTCAACCAATAAATGCTCAAGAACCAGCTCTGCTATCTCTATAAAGTGGGCATCTAGCCGCTGTCAGAACATTTCCAATGATAGAGAACTCAATGCCCTCCAAGCAGCACTTTCTAATTTTAGTTAATAATACAGTGTATAATACATGTGGCATAATAGCTATGTAATTTTGATATGGTGATACCCATGCAATAGTCTGATTTGCAGAAGGTTACATATTTTTCAAGTTACTTTAGGATTTCAGTATTGATCATGAAAGAAAATGTTCTTTTTTATATTGAGGATTACTGTTATTTCCTTTTTATATTTAAGTTATTTTTATTTTATAAAAAGTGAAAGATAATTTTCTGAGTTCACTAAGGCTGGAAAATCCAAATACCACAGACTGGATGGCTTAAGCAGCAGAAATTTGTTTTCTCATAAATCTGGAAACTCAAATTTTGAAAACTAGTGTCAATGAACTTGGTTTCTTCTGAGGCCTTTCTCCTTAACTTGTAGATGGACCTCTTCTTGCTATCTTCATATGGTCTTCCTTTGTGTCATCTCTTCTTATAAAGCCACCATCCTATTGGATTTGAGTTAACCTCATGACCTCATTTTAACTTAATTACATCTTGAAAGACCCTATCTCCAAATAGGTAATCACCCAGTCTGCGGTAGTTTGTCATATTCCGAGGTACTGAGGATTGGGGATTCTACATACTAATTTTGAGGAAACACAATTTAGCCTATACCAAGATCTTTCTAGAAAATTTGGATAATTAGAAAATATAAGGGTATAAAATAAAGCATAATCTTACATCCACAGACTACCATTTATTTTGTTTTTGCTTTGATTCCCTCATATATTTTTCTGTCCATGTTTTATGTGGCTGAACTCACACAGCATATAAGTATTTTTATCCTATTTTCCAACTTAACATTAGTATTTTTCCAATTTATTAAAAGTAACATAAACATTTTTGAAACATGTAAGACTGATTTCTAGATTTACTATAATTAATTTCATGTTCTATTTTTGTTTACAGATTTCTCTTTATGAATGGTGCTATGATGACCTCAACTATGTATTAAGGTTTGGGGGCATTTAGCACTTCCTTAAGGTAGATTTTAAAAATCAAATTATGTGGGAAAAGTGTCAAGACATTCATCAGTATCTTGACATACACTGTAAATTACCTTCCAGAGGGGTGGGCATAAATGAGGTTAACTTTTATCATCCTTATTGCAAAGTTGTATATTCTCATTAAGTAAAACATCATTAATGTTTTGGTGTGCAGAGAAATGGATCTCATTATTTTTATTTAAAAAACATACTTTTATGACTGAGGAAAGCAACACTTCACTATACATTAACTTGTTGTGTTTTCCTCCTTAAGTCCTTTACCTGGATCTCCTGGAGTTCGTGTATAGGAGGGAGGCCAGGAATGGGAAGACTAGTGGTCTTCATGCTTTCTTTAAAAATTTGATTAAACATTGTGGGTGTAAAGCAAGGTAACTTGTCATTTTGCTTTAAGGATTCTTCTAGGCTTACTTGTTTTCAATTTGGAAAGTTTACTTACTGTTTTTCAACACACAAATTTTTTTTCCTGAAGAGTTGCTGTTTCCTTTATGATTTTTCCCCATTATACTTTCTTTTTCTTAACAAAGCTTTTTATTTTTTAATTTTTGTGTGTTCTTTTTAGTTATACATGACAGTAGGATCTATTTTGATTTATTTATATTAGTATGGACTATATCTTATTCTAATTAGGATCCCACTCTTATGGATATACATGCTGTTGAGATTCACTGTGGTGTATTCATACATGTACATAAAAAAGTCATGTCAGATTCATTCCACTGTCTTTCCTATTCCTAACCTCTCCCTTCCCTTCATTCCCTCTTGTCTAATCCACTGAACTTCTATTCTCCCTCACCCCGCATCCTTTGTTGTGGCTTAGCATCCACATATCAAAGAGAACATTTGCTTTTGTTTTTTGGGGATTGGCTTATTTCATTGATCATGATAGTCTTCAGATCCATCCATTTACCAGAAAATGGCATAAAGCCATTCTTTTTTATGGATGAGTATTAATTGTGTATGTATACCACAAGTTCTTTATCCATTCATCTGTTGAAGGGCACCTAGGCTGGTTCTATAGCTTAGCAAGGGTGACTCATGCTGCTATAAATATTGATATGGGGAAAATCTATAGTATGCTGATTTTAAGACATTTGGATATATACTGAGGAGTGGGATAACTGAGTCAAATGATGGATCTATTCCTAGTTTTTTGAGGAATCTTCACACTGCTTTGCAGAGTGGTTGCACTAATCTGTAGTTCCACCAACAATGTATGAGTGTATCCTTTTCCCCACATCCTTGCCAACATTTGTTACTTGTATTCTTGATAATTGCCATTCTGACTGGAATGAGATGAAATGTCAGTGTAGTTTTAATTTGCATTTCTCTGATTGCTAGAGATGTTGAATATTTTTTCATATTTTTTTTTTTGGCCATTCATATTTTTTCTTCTGTGAAGTGTCTGTTCAATTCTTTTTCCCATTTATTGATTGGGTTCTTTCTTTTTTTTTTTTTTTTGGTGTTAAGTTTTTTTGAGTTCTTCATATATCCTGGAGATTAATGCTGTTTCTGAAATACAGGTGGTAGAGATTTTCCCCCCATCTGTAGGCTCTCTCTTTATGCTCTTGATTGTTTTCTTTGCTGTGAGGAAGTTTTTTTAGTTTGATACCATCCCATTTATTGATTCTTTTTTTTAAGAGAGAGAGAGAGAGAGAGAGAGAGAGAGAGAGAGAGAGAGAGAGAATTTTTAAATATTTATTTATTTTTTAGTTTTCAGCGGACACAACATCTTTGTTTGTATGTGGTGCTGAGGATTGAACCCAGACCACACGCATGCCAGGCGAGCGCACTACCGCTTGAGCCACATCCCCAGCCCCCCATTTATTGATTCTTGATTTTACTTCTTGTGCTTTAGGAGTCTTGTTGAGGAAGTCTTTCCTCAGACGACATGATGGAGAGTTGGGCCTACATTTTCTTCTCATTGATGCAGGGTTTCTGGTCTAATGACTAAGTCTTTGACTCATTTTGAATTGAGTTGTGTGCAGGGTGAGAGATAGGGGTTAAATTTCATTCTGGTACATATGGATTTCCAGTTTTCCCAGAATCATTTATTGAAGAGGCTATCTTTTCTCTAATGTATGTTTATGGTGCCTTTGTCTAGTATGAGATAACTGTATTTGTGTGAGTTTGTCTCTATGTCTTCTATTCATGCCTGTTTTGATGCCAATACCATGCTGTTTTTGTTGCTATATCTCTGTAGTATATTTTGAGATCTGGTATTGTGAGTCTTAGTGTTTCTCACTAAGGATTGCTTTGTGTGTTATAGGCCTCTTATTTTTCCAAATAAATTTCATGTCTACCTTTTCTATTTCTATGAAGAATGTCACTGGAATTTTGATGGGAATTGCATTGAATCTGTATAGTGCTTTTGGTAGTATGGCCACTGACAATATTAATTCTGCTTATCCAAGTACATGGGAGATTGTTACATTTTTCTAAGGTCTTCTTCAATTTCTCTGTTAGTGTTCTGTAGTTTTCATTGTGGATATCTTTCACCTCTTTTGTTAGATTGATTCCCAAGTTTTGTTTGTTTTATTTTTGAGGCTATTTTGAATGGAATGGGTTTCCTGATTTCTCTTTGAGCTGATTTATCATTGGTGTATAGGGATGCATTTGATTTATGGGTGTTAGTTTTGTATCCTGCTACTGCCCAGAATTCATTTATGAGTTCTAGAAGTTTTCTGGGCCTTCTAAATGTAGGATCATTCCCTGTCATTCTTAAACATAAAAATTCCTCCATGTTCTTTATTATTAATGTTTACTTCTTCACTGATTGATAAAAAATTTGATTTTAAAAATAAATCTTAACTAAGAATCCATCTGGACTCAGTTTGATAATGTTGTGTGAGGCTTCTAAATTCAATGTTGGCACAAACTACACTGTGACTCTTAACAGTTTCCTTAGCAAGGCAGAGGGTGAATATTAAATTGAAACATTGATGGCTTTCAGTTACCCATCTGTCCCCAGCCTATAATTTCTTACAATTAATCTCTTTTCAAAAGCACCATTTGCCTACCTAAGGAATACTCTAGGAGTGTTATTTGACCTGTACAAAATATGTACAGGTCAAATAACAAAATATGAGATAACTCATTTTGCATCAGAACTGTGGGAATCCAGCTAGGGCAGGGGGTCTCAGGAGACAAATGGATGGTGTTGCAAAAGGCATGCGGTGAAAGGCGGTGGAGAAACAACACAGATAAAAAGTGAAGGTGCTGAATCCCAATCTTTACTTGTAAAGTTGATCATATATACTTTTCATTTTGGCAGGCTCACAGTAATTTGTGGTTACAAAACAGGAATCATTCAAAAAATTCAAAGAAACAAAATATTACGTAGCTACAATTACATAAGAAGAATGTATCTTGGCTTATGCATAAGCAAGCATTTTTACTTTCAGTTCGCGTTTTGCTTTGAGCTGCTTCTGCTTAGTTAGCTTTTAATAATAGTTAGAAATGTCCCAGACTATTGGCCGATACCTTGACTATTCTTTCTTGACTGACTGACTAGATTCGGCACCACGGTTATGGTAAGTGGTTAACTTGAAAAGAGAGGCTACTAATTTTAATCAAACAAGTGTAAGAGCAACAAACCATTGTGCACAGGAACAAGAACAAGTTGCCCAGTACTAAGCACTAATCTGTCTTCTTAACATTAATTCTTCTTCTCTAGATTTTAATTTAATTTCTCAAAAACTTCCTTGACAGGAATACAGGGAGTTTTTCATTAGACATTAACAATTTACGTTCCACAGCTGAATCATTGCATTTAGAGCAAGCAGATCCATTCTTTAGAAGTAGTTGCATTAATTGGGAAAGTCATGTTTTTTCCTTCATACTTAATGGTCATATGAGAAGTCACAACTATACTTATTAAAGGAGTACAAAAACAAACCACCCCATTCCCAGAAACATACTGCGCTCCTCCAGAGGATGGACGCCTTGCACCATCCACCTCAGTAGGGCCTTGCCTTTGCCTGAGTTAGGGGAGGGGCACAGCATTTCCCCCATTTTTATTTTTTAATTTGAGGTGTTCGACTTGGACGGAGATGCTTTTGATTGACTTCCAGACAAGTCTGAAGAGGACTGGAAGAATGAGACAAATAAGAACAATGAATAAAAAGCCAAAACCAATATTAATCATATATGACCACCAAGTACTATTGGAAATAGTTTTTTTTGTACATTATTGTATAAATCTGCAGCAAAATCAGCTGTAGAGTCAGTAGATAAATAAGCCTTACTTATATCTTTTACTTGTTATTGTAAATCTTGTATATTGGGGCCTATTTCAGTTTTATTCCAAATCCCTAATAAATGAGTTTGTACTTGATTCCATCCATATTTAGTTTGCTTATATTTTAAGGGAGTAACACAGATCCATTTGAAATTAGCATGACATTTGGTTGTCATTTGAGTTTTTATATTTTGAATCTGGTTTCCTACATATAATAAAGCTTCCTCTAAGGCATTAATTTGGGTCTCCAATTTCTTATCTATTTTTTCTTGAATAGCTGATGCTAATGAAACATTATGAGATAAATTATTAACATGATGAGAAGTATGAATTTCTTTAACTAAATCTGTAGTAGATAAAGCTAAAGTAGCAATAATTCCTATTAATGCTGTAATTCCTAAAATTAATGCTGCAACAAATCGCTTAGGTCTAATTATTTCATTAAGTTTCTTAAGAATTTGTGACCCTTCATCATCATACCAATCATCATTAAGAAGGACAGGAATCATTACATAGGAAGGCTGATGTGTAATTAAATATTTTATAGGCATCCTAGACAAATTTGTGAGAAGATGGGAGACTCTCTTTTTTTTCCTCTCTCTCTCTCATAAAAATTTGATAATATTGATAAACCATTTAATTGGATAACTCTAGCAAAACCAGTTAACTAACTGAAGGCCAATCACTGAGTATTTCCCACTTCTCAAGATAAGAATCTCTAACTTGCCTAAAGATTAAGACCTACTAGTGAAATCTCAGCCTGGTACAAAAAAGTTTACAAGGACTCAGATGACATCATCCAGGAATGTAGTCACAGTGCCTGTACTTCCTGATGTTCACAGTTCCCTTTACCTCTTATATGTCGATTCTCTAGATTCTTCACCATTGCGATGTGATTATATGCAGCAATTAAACACTGGTTTAAAATCTTGTGGATAAATCTGCAGCATTTTATTTTATTGATATGCTTTTTGTGAATAAAGAATGCATTGACAACAGTTTTATTAATTAGTGCATTTACAATTGTAACAAAAGAAACCTGTTTATTGGAATATTATGTAAAAAAAATGGGTTGGAAGAAGTGCACCTCAGATCTAGTCCAACCCTGTACCTCATGTGCTATGTGACAATGGATCAACGATCATTTTATCTTTCTGGGCTGCATTTCCCATACCATAAATAAAGATATCCACAAATAATCTATAAGGCTTAAAATTCTGGCGTTTGATGAAAAACATCTGAGCAAATTAGAATATTGCATTCAATCTTCTGCGTGTGTATACACACACACACGTGCACGCGCGCACACACACACATATATAAAATTTAGGGAATCTGTGTTTATAAAAACATAATTAGGAAGGATTATAACATTCGCCAATTTTTTAGGTTATTAAGTGCAAAGCTGCTGTGCTATGGGAACTGAATCAACCCTTCTCCACTGAGGAAATAGAAGTTGCCCCACCAAAGGCTAAAGAAGTTCGCATTAAGGTAAGAAAGAACCTCAGACCATATAAGCCTGTAATTTTATCACACTTATATTGAGAAAATTATTGTTGGGAGATTAGAGTATTAAATAGAGAGATGTTTGCCAAGTTTTCAGTCTTAATTCTCCCACTGGTTCTTGTATATTGTTAAAGTAATCGTTGCCCTACTGTGAAATTAAAAGTTTATTACCAATTAATAAAACGACAGTGCTAATCGATTTGATCTATTAAAGTTTTCATTTGTATTGATTAAAAAATGATTAGTAGTCATGACTAATGATTTCTTTAAAAATCTTCTGGGAGTCAAATTGTATGGAGGTAAATTCTCACATAAAATGAGGAACTCATTTGTGCCTGGGAAATGACAGCTTCCTGGGGTGTTCCCCCAGTCCTGTAGACAGAGTCTGACTTGTGGTTTGGACACCTGTGACTGAATAGGCATTGCTGCCGATCTCTCTGACCCTCTTCCATCATTTGAATACTGCAGTTACAGTAAAATTTTGTTCCTCATTTGTCTTTTTATACACCATTCCCTCTACTTTTTATTAAGAGAGTCCTAGGAGGACTTACTATAAAAATCACCTGATGTGAGTTACATGTGAGTTACAATTACAATCTCTTCAAGAGCCAGTTTAATATTAACCAACTGTAAAATGACCAGTTTACAGTTTTCTGGTTGGTAATTTTTTTTTAACACAGATTTTGGCCACAGGAATCTGTCGCACAGATGACCATGTGAAAAAAGGAGCAATTGTTTCTAAATTTCCAGTAATTGTGGGACATGAAGCAACTGGAGTCGTGGAGAGCATTGGAGAAGGAGTCACTACAGTGAAACCAGGTATGCAGATGTCAATCCCAACTTTGCATTAAGTAGGCTTCTATTAAAGAAATAGCACACACTAGGAATTAAAGTCTTAACCCACTTTAGGGAGACAAAAGGACACAAGGAGAATGGATTGGACTAAGTAATGCTAAATTTGGCAAAATCTCAAATTTTAGCATGCAAATTTCATGGTGCTTATAATACTTTTAAGAAACTGTTATATGTAGGATGGGCTTGATGCACTTTTTTATTTCACATTTTAATATTGATGAACAACACCTTATGTTTTTCCTCTAGGTGACAAAGTCATCCCTCTCTTTGTGCCACAATGTAGAGAATGTAATGCTTGCCGTAACCCAGAGGGCAATCTTTGCATCAGGATCGAGTAGGTTTCGGTCATTCTTATCCTAATGTCATGTAAGTTGTTTCCTGTGCTAATTTTTTAATTGAATGAGCTAATATGTGCTTTTGATTTATCAAATAGTATTACTGGCCGTGGAGTACTGGCCGATGGCACTACCAGATTTATGTGCAAGGGTAAACCAGTCTATCACTTCATGAACACCAGTACATTTACTGAATACACAGTGGTGGATGAATCTTCCATTGCCAAGATTGATGCTGCAGCTCCTGCTGAGAAAGTCTGTCTAATTGGTTGTGGATTTTCCACTGGCTATGGGGCTGCTATTAAGACCGGCAAGGTAAGAAGCAGCGTAAACTCGTTTCTTCCACTTTTCGTTACTTACTTACCTCATTTATTCCTCCCTTGGGATCCTAAAGATATTTGAAAATAAACAGACAAGCAAAAGATGCTGAAAACATGTTGCATGTTTTCAAGGCTATTTCTATATAATACCATGTCAATTGGGGGGGAGAAAGAAACAGACTGGGAATTTTATTTCCAAATAAATGGAAACAAAATTTCTAGATTTACTTTTTGGTTCCTTTGCATCTTCTTTTGGTTCAATTTCTAAAATTTAGATTTGCATCTAAAATTAATCTGTTTTTTAAAGTATATTAGTATTGATTATTAGTTTGCTAGAGCTGCTATAACAAAGTGCTATAGACTGGGTAGCTTGAACAACAAAAATTTATTGTCTCACAGTTCTGGAACCAGGGGTCCATAATTAAAATGTTGGCAGGGCTGGCTCCTTCTGAGGGCTGCAAGGGGATGATATAATACAGGCCTTTCCTATTGACCTGCAGATAGATGAACATCATCTTCCTGTGTCTCTTCACATCATCTTCCCTATATGTGTGTCTTCATATCCAAATTTCCTTATTTTATAAGGACACCAGACATACTGGATTAGGGCTACATAAGTCAGTTTTATGTTGCTATTACAAAATACTCATAAAGAGTAAAATCATTCTAACAATGGATAATTACTGAATTAGGGGTGTATAAGTCATTTTTATGTTATTACAAATTATTAGTAAAGAGTAAAATACTGCTAAAAATTCAATAAATCCCCATACTGTGGTGTTCTCATTCAATTCCAAAGTCTTTAAAAGTTATGAATGTATTAGTTGATTCCAAATTTATATTTCAAACCATCTCAGAGCCTCAGAACTTTTTATCCAACTCCCTGTTTTCACCATGTAGACATCTCACAGATATCTCAAACTATGTACAAAACTAAGTTCTTAATTTTGCCTTCTACCTGCCCATCAAATATATTTGCTCCCTCTCTCCATTACCTGACATCCAGTTCAACTATATGTCCCATTGACTGTACCTATGAGTTATATGTTAAATCTCACCATTCTCTTTAACTCAGTCCCATCATCACAACTGAACCGGATAGATGTAACATATTCCATACTATTTTCTTCCTTGCTCTTCTTGACCATCTCTGATAATTCTTTATTTACAAGACAGAGTAATTGTTGTACAAGATTATTTTGACTGTCTGGAATAATTGATCACTCAGTCCTTGTGACTGGCTCCTTAGCATCACTCTCAGTTTAAAGATCACCTGCTTTCTCAAAGAAGTTCTTTTGTTTGTCCTCCGTCTACTCCATCTAAGTAGCAACCCCTTCTAATTATTCAAGAAAGAGTGATTGTTTCATTAATATTGTGTGTCCCGAATCTGAAGCTGTCACTGTATCTTCAGTCTTCTCCATTAAACTCTAAGCCCTAGAGGACATCTACAAACTCTGCTTTATTTACTCCAATGTTTAGCCAGAAGTCTTGTCATTGACACAGCTTAATAAACATTAATTGAAGAAAAAGATGTATAGATGAACTAAAGAAAGGAATATCCAAATTTGTGGAAGAACAAAAAGATGAGTGGGCTTGTGGCAAATAATATATCTGGATGTCAAGGTAGACATATTTATTCCTAACAGGGGTTCAAGACAGGTCTGCAGTTCAGAATGTATAGTATTATCATGAATACACACCAGTAGCGTGTTTGTTACCATTTCCCTCTAGATTTTCTAGGCAAAACCTTGGAGATGGAACTTTCCTTTCCAAGGTCTCCTTCAGATTTTCCACTAAGAATTTTCTGCCAATATAGATGTAAAAGAAGGGACACTCAATATAGCTTTAATTCACTCTTTGTAATTTTTCTTATTGTACTTGATATGTTGATACCATACGAATACTTCAGAGTTATGCTGTTTACCAAGAAATTTGCTATTTTCAGATCTTTTTTTCTGGTACTTGTATTTTAAGACAAATAACATAAATAAACCCAAATTTTTGTGTTTGCCTGTATGAAAATAAGCCAAATTCACTATAAGGGCATAATAGCAGACCCTCAAATGCCCCTCAGTTTCAATGATTCACAATAAGGTTTCAATAACTCAGACAAGTTATTATGTTCTTGATCATCATTTATTGCAATGAAAGAGTATAGATTAAAATTAGCAAAGGAAAAAGACATAGGGTATACTTCCAGTGAAACCAGCCACATGCTTCTGAGAATCTCTTCCAAGGGAATTACAAGGACAGTGCTTAATTCTCCCAGTAATGGTGTGGAACAATGCATGTGTTGCCAACAAGGAAAGCTCACCTGTGTGCAGGGTCTTTATTGGGAGCCAGTCACGTAGATATGCAGCACCCATGTGACCAACCTCAGCACTCATACCGTAGCCCACCCCCAAAAGGTCAGCTTAATAGCCCAAAGCAAAATATAGGAATTGATTATAAATCACACTGTTAACATTAACTGTAAGTCTTGACCCAAGGTCTCAGTTATACGCTCTTATCAGGCAGAATATTTCAAAGACTCAAAAGTTCTCTTCCAAGAGCTGATCAAGGGCCAGTCCTGAAGACCTTTGACTTCAGTGTTTTTAACTGGGGAACACTAAGAGATCAGATCCATGAAATAAAACAATAGTGAAAAGTAGAGCCTTACTATATTTTAAAATAATAAAATCATTTTAAATGACCTATAATTACTTCAGACTAAGGCCTTCTTTCACAGTATTGATAATGTAGATAATTCATTATACATGTTATTATTTAGTTCCTATTCCTCAGAAAAGAAAGGTTAGGAAAGGGGGACAATCTATTTGAGGGGAAATGTCTGGAAGTTAACAGAAATTGGGGCCATGATTCGTTAAAAGACTCAGAGGCAGAATGATAGGAGAATCAAAAAACTAGCACTTAACAAATAAGCAACTAAACACAGGGAGAAGTCTTCAGTGGTTCCATTTTTTAGTTGTTAGGAAGATATTCCTCAGACTCTCCATAGCCTAGGGCTTCCAGGGATTCAACCGGGCAGGCGAAAGAGGTCCCAGAGACAGAGCTAGATCATAAGATTCATACCTAATTCTAGAGCCTGAAATTCAACCACTATCAAAAATTCCCTCTTAAATGTAAACAGTAGAACTAACTGATAAATGGGAGAAAAAGCAAAGAGTGTGCTGTTGAGTTTCTGGCATAAGAATGCTGATCACCCATAATTATTGTGTTGTGGTCTATTTGACTCTTGAACTTGAGGAGAGTTTGTTTTATGAACGTTGCAGCACCATTATTTGTCATGTACAGCCATAGGAATGAGAAGTTGTGCTCCACTTGTGCATAATGTGTTAAAGTGCATTCTACTGTCATGTATAACTAACTAGAAAAAAATAAAAAGTATATAGAATTTTTTATCCAACCAAAAAAAAAAAAAAACAACAAAAGAATGCTGATCACCAGGAATCAAACAGTAATGCAAACAGATGAATCAATGATGGAATGATACTTGAGAGAACAATTATCTAGATTCAAAATCTCCAACTCAAGAGCTGAACTGAGGCATTAGGATGCCATTGCCAAAATTAAAAATCATGGAAGGTGGGTGCACAGACCTGTGCAATTTTCTGTGGACTCTCTGCTTACAGGTACAGACATTTCAATGCATATTCTTATATATATCATGTGGATTGCTTCTTTAGGTACTTCCTGCAAGGGAGGACAGAGCCAGAGTACCTGGAGGTTTGAAAACATGCCCAGCTCTCCCATATACCTTTGCATTTAAGAAAATGAAAAAATAACTATCCTAATAAAGATCACACCCTTTCCATGGGCTCTCTTGTGTTCAGGCCCCCTCCTGGCTACTTAATGTAAAATTGGAATAGGGTTCTTCTGGCAGGAAAATAACTTTGGACTGGACATTTTTTTTTTTTTTTTTTTTTAGCATTAGGGATTTAACCCAGGCTTGTTCTATCTCTGAGCTAGATTCCCAGCCCTATTTTATTTTATTTTGAGACAGGTTCTCACTAAGTTGCCCAGGCAGGTCTCAACTTTATAATTCTCTGTCTTCAGTTTTCTGAGTTGCTTTGATTACAGGATTATAGATGTGTGCTACTGCATCCAGCTTTTATGTCTGGGAGTGGGTACTGGAGATTTTACCCAGGGATGCTCTACCACTGAGGTATACTCCCAGCCCATTTAAATTTTTTTTTTTTTATTTTGAGGTAGGGTCTCACTAAGTTGCCTAGGCTGTCCTGCAACTTGAAATCCTTCTGCCTCAGCCTCCCAAGTCACTGGGATTGTAAGTAGAGTGCCTCTGCACCCATCTTGAAACCTTTTTTAGTAGCATAGGATTGGGTTAAAATGCCAAAATTGATTTAATTACATTTCCTTTTTGAAACTACATGTGGATCAGATCTAATTGCAACATGGAGGTTGGACTTTACTGAAAAACCAAATTATTCACAAATTACTCAGAGTCATGTTTATTCAGAAAATATTAATCATAATGAATTTAAAACAAATTTAACATGATTTGAGAAGAGATAATAGAGGGCTTGGTGTTTGTCAATCATGCTGTAAGGGTGAGGAGGCACAGGAGGCTGAGGGTGAGGCCAAGAAGCCTGCGGAAGTTTCCATAGGGAAGGCTGCATGAGGAAACCATTTAGAAAGGGTTTCCATTTATCTAAGGAACAATGTTTTTGTTTTGGCAAATTCTCCTTTTCTCAGGCCTTCTATTGTTTCTATTCTCTCTGTGGCTTTATCATCGTGATGATTCATCCAGTCCTAGAGAACATCATAGCAATCCTCTGAATTTAATACTGGGGATACTTTGCGGCTCTCACCTTTAACATTTACAGGAGGCTTTCTCTCCCACAGGTCACCCCTGGTTCTACTTGTGCTGTCTTTGGCTTAGGAGGAGTTGGTCTGTCGGTCATCATGGGCTGCAAGTCAGCTGGTGCCTCCAGGATCATTGGGATTGACCTTAACAAAGACAAATTTGAGAAGGCCTTGGCTTTAGGAGCCACTGAGTGTATTAGTCCCAAGGACTTTACCAAGCCCATCAGTGAGGTGCTGTCGGAAATGACAGGCGACACTGTGAAGTACACTTTTGAAGTTATCGGGCATCTTGAAACCATGGTAAGAGTCAAGATTCAGGAAGCTACAAAATACCAAGCATTAGATTTGCACAAGTTAAAACCCATTTTCCATAGCTTTACTAACAACCAATTATGGAAATATATGTTACTCAGGTAACCACACAGCAGGTTTACCTAAAAAGTCAAAATCTCAAAGATTGGTTCTACTTGATCAAAGTTAGGTATCACATCATACCACTCTCTTGCCACTTGAGGGCAAGGTAATCGACCCATCAACATAGATTTTTCAAGTGTTATCTTCCATGTATGTGTGGGATTCTTGGCAAAGGTGATTCCATCTCTGGAATTTTATTTAGCAATCCGAGTATCACAAGGTTACTTCTTGAAGAGAGATACGAGAAACTTCAGGGAAAAGGGACTGTTCTAAACGCTGCCATCTCTTCCCCCAAATCCATGATCTATCATCTTCTCATTCTTTTCACCTGAGCTTTGTTTTCCTTTGTCTAAATACCTTTAGAATATCTTCCTTCAGTATTCTAAAACATGCCTCCTCTGTGGCAGCCAGCAGCACCAGACTCCATTTAGATCTGAAATCCAGAGCTTCTGGAATGAGAAATCCCTGACCTGGGGTAGGTTAGGGAGGCCTAGAAAATGAAACTAAGCCACTTTCGAGTATGCAGTATATTTTCTTTAAGGCTTTTGGTGATTTAGGGATAAGTAGCCTTTAACTTACTATTATTGCCATATCGTTTTTCTAATAACACTTAGGAAATTCCATAGCAACAAATAGTACTCTAGGTGTGGTGTGTTCACCAGGCAATATGCAATACTGGACATATTATTAGGTTCTACTGATTTGCAGGTGGTGCTTTGAGAAACATTGGTCTCTGAAAAATACCAACAATTGTTACAATCTAGCAAGAACTACAACATGCTATTAATAAATAATAGAATTGGTAAATGACCAGAAAATATGAGGCTAGACTCAGATATTGCCAGAGAGAGAGAGAGAGAGAGAGAGAGAGAGAGAGAGAGACTTTACTTTGTTCACATTTTCATATTAAACTTAAAAAAAACATACTAATTGACTAATTCAATTTCATTAAGTGCAAATGACTTCTTAAGGCTTATCTGAAGTGGTGATGTTAGTATGAAAACATCACAAGGATTTCCCACGTTTTCAGTTTATGGTACACTAAAAACTTCCTGGATATGACCACATTAATTACTGCCTTATGCTTCAAAATGAAAATGTGTGTAGGAGTTTAATTAAGGACTTAAGTTACATTGAGAATTTTAAAAGCAAGCAGAAAATGAAAGGCCTGTGGGCCTAATTTAATTTCATGACTTGGAAACTGAGCTAATTACCAGAATGATGAGAGTTAGTTTATAGGTCATTTCTGATCCCATGAAATATTATAAGAGAACTAAGAAGCAGACCATCTCCCTCATTCTCCATTCAGGTCGATGCCCTGGCATCCTGCCATGTGAACTATGGGACCAGTGTGGTGGTAGGTGCTCCTCCATCAGCCAAGATGCTCAGCTTTGACCCGATGCTGCTCTTCACTGGGCGCACATGGAAGGGGTGCGTCTTTGGAGGTGAGGACAGTAGAGCCTCTGGACAGGGCATGATGGCTTTCCCTCTGTTGGTTGGCAAGTGAGAGAAGCCTGCTATGTCATCACATTGTCCTTACAAATCTTCCTTCTAAGGATGAGTATGAAATGATCTAAAATGGAACTGTGACCAAAACACACAAAAGATGATTATCCAGTCCTCTCCTTGACTTAGGGCTAATAATGGTGGGCATAATTTTGTTTTGTTTTATTTTATTTTTTTGTTTTGGGTCGACACAATATCTTTATTTATTTTTATGTGGTGCTGAGGATGGAACCCAGTGCCTCACGCATGCCAGGCCAGCCCACTACCACTTGAGCCACATCCCCAGCCCCACACATCTTTAATATTAGCATGTGCAAGTCGAGTTCCCCAAAGGCCTGAATAAAAGGCACCAAGTGGCTCTGTTGGAATGACTTATGTGATAGTTAGTTCTGATGTAACTTTTTATTCTCCAAAGACACAGAATGTGTGTGAAAAACAGAATTTAGTAAATTCACAATAACATCAGTAAAAGTTCTGAATCCCAAACCAAAATAAACAAACAAAAAGGAATTGTTGCATTCTTTAGGGACAGTGCAGATTCATACCAGAATGAGAAAGCCATGAAGAAAGGACCAGAGCTGCCCCCCGCTCGGTTGGTGACACAGTGAATCCTGTTATTCCTCTCCTCCTTGGGGTCTCAGTTTTCAGTGTCTTACGTTTAGAATTTTGCCAGGTGCTTTGGATGCACTTCCAATATTACATACAGCCTCATACAGCTTAAGTGAATAATAACTATTCAAGAACTTGTTAAGAACATAAAAAGAAAAAAATGATTATTCTTCAATTAGAAGTACATAATTTATTGAAAAATGCAAATACAAGTATTAAGGAAAAAATTTCAAAACAAATGTATTAGAAGCCATGAAGCTGGAGTAAATGTAGTTAGCAAGGAGAAAAGGTCTGAGAACCAAGCCCTGGGGCACAGGAGAGTGAGAGGTCGGTGAAATGTGGGGGATTCAGAAGAGTTCTTGTTTTCTAGTGAAGTGGGAGAACTATGATGGCAATTAGAAACCAAGTGAATGGAGGGAGAAGAAGGGAGCCCCCAACTCCAACAAATCCACCTCATAGTCCATCTAAATCCAGGACTCAGAGCTGACTACTGTGTCACAGTGGAGACCAAGCATGACCTTGACAGAGCTGCTTTACTTGTGTGCTGGGGAAAAGAGCCTGATCAAAGTGGGCTCGTGAGAGAATGAAAGGAACTGGAACCAGAAACAGGATGTGGGAAACAGCTCTTTCTGTGGTTTATTGGCAATGGGAGTAAGATATGGGGCAGCTGGGAGGATGTACAGGGATTATGAAAGGTGTTTTAGCCTTTGATTCTTAAGATGGGAGAAAAACACCTCATTTATATGCTGTTGGGAATGTTCCAATGTGGGGGCAGGTAGCAAAGCAGGAGAGAGGAGGCATAAATATAAAACAATAAAAGATAATTTAGTGAAGTTTAAAGAGAAGATTATGTGCTTACTTACAGGTTGGAAAAGCAGAGACGATGTACCCAAACTAGTGACTGATTTCCTGGCAAAGAAATTTGACCTCGACCAGCTGATAAGCCATGTTTTACCATTTAAAAACATCAATGAAGGATTTGAACTGCTCTATTCAGGGAAAAGGTATCTATTTTTTATGCTAATCTAAATATTCTCTGAACTTTTTTTTTAACACCAGATTGATTTCACCACGGTTCTTTCATTTTATCATAAAGCTGTTAGGTTATTCAAGTAATACCACACAATTCCCTTCCTTTACAGTTTTCAAAGTGATTTTTCAAATGTGCTTTCTTTGGATCCTTGTAGATCAAATATTATTATTCCAGTTTTTAGTTGACAAAACTCAAGTCCTGAGAGGCAAACAAATAACATATCCAGCCTGAGAGCAGTGCCAGGATGCAAACTCATTGCAAAGCCTTTGTTCTGTTCACCATGTGCCAAACTTCTCTGGCAGGGCTTGGCAAGCTCCAGGTAAACGTGGGTATTCTCAAAGTGGTTTCTCTTGTAGCTTCTGAGGGTTGGGAAATAGTAAAGGTGGAATACAAAGAATTCACACAAATTTCAAGTGCATTTGCCTATGATTAGCTGGATAAGCAACTAAAGAGCCTCTCTGTGAGATATCATTCATTGGGTTCATAAATATTTTTTGAGCATCTGTGATGTGCCAAGGACTTGGATTTCATTAGTAAAAGGAAATGTACATTAATTTGAGATCGAAATTTTCACCAATTTTTCCCAAGTGCTTTTTCAATGTTGTGTCTTGTTTCTACATCTGGTATAGTCTACAAGACTATGATATTATGAGCACACATGTGAATTATTTTTAAACAAGTAAACCATGGACCTCTGTCAGAAAAACTATCAGTACCCAATACACCTGTATTCAGATAAACTTACAGATTATAATAATTACTATTGTTATTAAAATTATTTTATTTTTATTATATTGTTTATTGCAATATTATATTACATATTAACATATTCTATTATAGTATTTATTTTATTGTTGACTAAAATTATTAAAAATAATTACTATTGTTTTCCAAAGAAACAGATCCTGCTTTCAGAAATTTTGCTTCTAATGTCACCCTAATTCGGTGACTCCTAGAATAAGATATATTCCATGCTTGTATAACTAGATCAAAATGGATTCTGTGGTTATATATAACTAAAAAGAACCAATAAAAAAGAAAATAACCCACTTACATTTGTAAGCCCACACTCTTTAATTTCCATCTACTTCCTGCATACCTCTACTTGAATGTCCCATTCACCTCATTTTCACCCCCAAAGAATTCTTTCATAGCATACCTTATTTCAGCAAAATAATGTCACTTATTCTGCTTTCACAGACTAGAAGCTATAGCATCATGTCTGACTTCTCTTCTACTTCTCCTGCCATGAACAAACCATTGTGAAGCCCTGAGGTGCAGCCCCTCATTTCTTCTCCAGCATGGCTCCCTCTTTACTGCCAACCTTCGTAGCCTTAGCTCAGTCTGATCATGGCTCATATGAACATGTTAACACAGTGGCTTAATAATAGGTCTGCTGTTTTCTATGTTTTCCCATATTCATCAGTCCTTCACTAAGGTGCTAAGTTTAGGTTGCACCAAAATGTAAATGCCTGAGCACCGCTTTGAAAGCCTTCATTACTGAGTCAAAGACTATTTTCATTTATTAATTCTTCTAATCTTTTAATAACTAAGAATTTATCACCCATTTTTTGTAGTCTTTGAACTAAGTCCTAGGGATAAAGTAGGAAAATAAGTTTTGTCTACTTTTACAATCTCTTGAACATCCAGAAGTCTAAGCACCTGGGATTGTCTTTCCTTTTCTCCCATCCTCAGCCCTAATTGTGCTCTCTTCAGCCTGAAAGCCCCTATCCTCTAGTCAACTTATTGCAATGACCTGAAAGCCCCTATCCTCTAGTCAACTTATTGCAATGACCTGAAAGCCCCTATCCTCTAGTCAACTTATTGCAATGACACTAATGCTTCCAGAATCAGCTCACAGACCTTTATCAGAGTTTATCAGAGGTGCACAGAAAGAAAAATAATTGACGAGGACCTCAAGCCCAGTTGGTTTTCCAATAATAGGATTTACTTGAATTTTCTATAACAGGAAGGACAATTGTGTAAACTACTCTTGTTTAAAAAAAATTTAAACAAATCACTAAAAATTCTCATTTTACATTTCAGCATTCGAACTGTCCTGACATTTTGAGATCCTAAGTGACAAGAGCCCTGTGTTTTAAGATGGTGACCACCTGGAGCTCTCCTTCTTACAAATCTCTCCTCTGAGATTATGGATGTGTCTCAAAATACAAGAGAAGTAGAAGATTTCACATAGAATCTTTATAAAGGTTGACAACTTTCATAAAGATTTAGTTTCTGAGCGTGTGGGAGTTACCAGGAGATTTTCCAAAGCTGTAATTTTATATTTTAAAAAACATATATTTGCTAAAATTAAGCTCATTTAAAGTTGTGTTCCAAGGATAGGTTTTTGTTGCTGTTGTTGTTGTAAAGATTACTTCGATGTCAAAGTTAAACAGCGGATATAATAGAAAACTTAAGTAAAGTTTTGGGTAAATTGTAAAAGGTATTTAGGTTTGTAAAAGAGTTTTAAAAGCAAGTAAAACTTGTATGTAACTGACTTGCTATATATATGGGTTTTTTGTAGAGGCTAAATAGGCATCAAAGATACATTACTGTTTGTTTTGTGTTTCCCTTGTAAAACCTTATAACTGTTGCCTGTTAATGTTTTGCAGAAATAATACTTCTAACAGAACAACCTGAACTAATTTGTGACAATAAGTCATCACCTACAGGACAGACAGGACATAATCCTGGCTTCCAGTACTAATATTGACCCCAATTAAATGAAAAGGATAACTGTAAAATTACAGATATTGAAGTTATAACCTGTTATTCCCACTTTAAGACTGATAAAACTGGTCTTCTGGGTAATTAAATCCAAAAACTTGTAGACCAAAGTCAAGGACATAAAAGGGCCAAGGAAAAAATCAGCCAACATTTTAGCCCTTGCCCTCTAAAGTCAGCCACGGTCCAGAGAATGAGAGGACCTCTCTAAAGTCCCTGCAACTCCAGAGAGTCACCCAATCTGCCAGAGAGATTGAGAGGACACTAGAGATCAGGAAGCCAACTGCAAAGAGGAGGGTCATTGGAGAGGGAAATGTCCCTGAAGCTTCTAAGAGAAGCCACATATGGCCAGCAAGACACTGACCTATCCTGGCAGATGGCACCACTGGTAGAGGATCCTAGAAGCTTCACACACATCCAAGAATTGATCCCTGAGCAATTTCAGCTGACTCTTAAAGGTAGATAGGAACAAGGTCAGTTTTGACCAACTTGGTCTTAAACACCTGGCAGAAGGGTATAGCTAAAACACAGTACTACATGAACATATAAAAGGAATAATTTTTTAAATATAACTTAAGATATACACTTGTGCAGCCGTATCTAAAGCAAGTAAAGCTGGAGGCTAGAAAGGAAGGGTTTTTGTGGAAGAGTGCCTAATAAAAATGGTCACAAAGGATTCTAGAGTCACAGGTTTGTCCTGAGTCAATTTGAGCCTGATCTCAAACCTACAAAATCTTCCTAACTTCCTACATAAAGTAACTTGATCTGTTTTTCACTGATATGATTATGAGTTACTATCTTTGTGGTTTTCAGAGACTGGGTGAAATAATAATTGTTTTTGTGTTAATTGTTTACAAAAAAAGTAATGCTTTCCTATCTTGTTTATTGTCTCAGCATAATTCCTGCTCTATATAACCTTGTCCAGTTACTCATCAACTGCTACTATGGACCTCTGGACTGCCCTGGTACTGGATACCATTAATTGTCCATGCCCAACCTGATAAAGAACAAGGACTTTGGGTCACTTCCCCCAACTTTGCCCTCTCAGCAGGGAGAAGCTTGGAGCTGTTGCCACCCATTTTCCATGGACATGGAATGTAGAAATTGACAGTGTGGAAACGCAACAGTGGTCCACTTTATGCTTTGAATATAGCTCTGCTACTGTGGCTTATTTTTAAAACGACATGTTTCTTTCTCTTCCTCTCTCCCTGCTTCTCCCTAATCTCTCCTTCTCCCTAATTTCAGGGGAAACAGGATTACCTTTCCTCCCCAACCTAGGCAGAATTGTCTGTCTACAGGAATCAAGTAATTCCGACTTTAGGAATGGCACCAGAAAATCTCAGAAATGACTATTGCTCAAATTCACAAGTGAATTACAACTTCAGACAGAGAACACATGGAATGTAGCCTTTGAATCACCTCTTTAAAAGTCCCCTGTTCCTGCTGATGGGCAGAATCACAGCCTCTGGGACAGGAGTCCCTGTGCTTCTCCTTTGCTAGTAAAGCAATAAAACTTCTTTTTCCTTTTTCTCACTCACACATTTGTGTGATGAATTTGTGTGATGAAATAATGATGTTTTTTCAAAAAGTTTTAATCAACTGCTATGACTTAAAGCAGATACAGCATACAATGGTATAGTAAGTCTATTTCCTAAAGTAATATTCATTGAACACTTTGTAACTATTCTTCTCTGGATTTGAATATAAATTTTTTAAACACCTGTTATAAATTAACTTAAAGTATGTTGTGAAATGAGCTCATTACACTGTACACATTATTTGATTAGATTAAGAAATTGTGAGAATTTAGGGAAAAGTAGAATTTTAAGTGATTAACTTTTAGAATTATCAGCATATAACTTGGTGAAACTGGAAAAGTATAACCTAAGGGCATATGAGGCTATTAATGTCTTATAAAATATATATATTTTATAATATCACTTAAACAGAGCACAGGATGGAGTAACTTACAATATTTATCATAATATTCATTTTAATAAAGTAGAATTATAAGTCTTTAAGTCTCTATTTACTTAGAGATGACTTCATTTAGCAAAAAGTGTTTTCAGTTTGCTACAACTGCACTGACATCTATATTATCTTTCCTCTACTGTGAATGAACAAGAACTTTACTTAGAATTTAAGTGAATGGTTTAATTAAAAATAATTTTTACTTGGATTGACAAGTGCACATTTGAAAAAAATAGATATGGCCTTTTAACTTCACTAGTATTTTATGTTTCAATGCAAGTTTTGGCAAAGAACCATATAATCCCATAACTGCCTGGCATGGATCAAGTTAAGTACTATTCATCCAGCAAGGCTGTTTAAAAAGTAAACTTTCCTATTTGAAAAAAAGTGCAAATATTGAAGATAGTAGATTACAGTTTCAGGTGAGAACAGGAGATGGTGGCTTGATGGATGTGGCCTGAGTATGATCCTAGTTCCACCTCTAACTGAAATCCTGAGCACCTGTTTCCTGAGGTTCTTTATAGCTCCAATTCTCAAAGGCTCTAACTAGAATGAGGGCTTGAAATAATCATAAACTTGGTTTCTCTTCATTTTGAAGACTGAGGAGTATCTATTTAGAAACAAAAGGTTTTAAAACACTTTCAATTCAGTGCTTCAAAATAAAGGATTTATTTAGTGCATTAGACTGGAAAATGGGAATCAAAGAAATAGCTCTCCCCAGGAAGACACAAGAGAGTCAGCCTGGTCAAGGACTTAAATCCCTCAGGGAAAAAAAAAAAAAAAAAACAAGAGTGGCCTTGGTTCCAGGACTTTGAACCTAGTACTAAGCCCTGCCTGCTTATAAGATGTATGGTACAGCAGAATCTTAATCCTGATTTGGGCTGTTCCTTTAAATGATTGAATCATAGGAATATTTCATCTGAATCATTTGCTCTAATTGTAGTAAGGTAAAAAGAAGATGCTGAATTACTCCCCAACAGTGAGCCACTACATTGGAGGCTCAATGAACCATGGTTGCCAGACTGAGGACTTGAATAGAGGAGGGCAGAAGTGTTCCTTTGGTGTCAGTACATTTCCCATGGTGCTATGGGAATAGTAAGAGACCCTAAAAGCAAAATTACATGATGATTTCTTGAAGTCTCCTCGCCCCACTTAGGAGACATCTAAAACAAAGTCTCTTCACTCTTTTACCAAGATTATTTTTCTCCTTTTCAAAATTTGCAAAATGGAAATGTCACCAAATCTCCATCTCTAGCGCTTTGCTCTAAGAATAGCTTGCCATGTTGACCTCAACTCTATAGGTACAATCCTCAGTTATTGTCAACAAGCATCTAGGTGTTCATGGAGACTCAAAACTGACATGACCAAAACTAAGCCCCTCTTCCCCTCCAAGGTTAATCTGCTTCCTGAGTTCTCTAATTGTGGCCCCACCTACACACTCAACATGAAAACTTGGAAAGCATTGTGCAGGAGTCTCCAAGTTAATAAATCATCAAGGCCTCCTGGTAGTACCTCCTAATTAGGGAATGTGATGGTCCCTTTTCCTCTTCTTGTAAGTGATAGACCCAACCTGATTTTTAAAATTGGGAGCCATCTCGCCACAAAGCCATGAAAGGATAATTTTGGCTTTACTATAAATTACTGCAAATTCTGAACCTGCTTGGAATGTCTGCCCGTGCCTTGAACTCACCCATGCCTGGCTCTCTGACCAGATAGCAGCCCTCTCTGAAACTTTAGTGACGCCTCACAAATCTTGGCCTTCCCTGGCCAGATAAGGACCCTCTCTGAGGCTCTAATGACCTTCATAAATTCTGATGTTGGGGCCAGCAAAAATGTAAACTACCATTTGCGTTATGCTCCTCAGAGTTTTGTTATCTGTAACCCCCCTTTGTATAACTTTCTGGGCTATAAAGCTGGGCTGCAGGAAAGCTGGGGCTGCTGTCTTGTTCCTGCGGTTTTGGGTGATAGAGGCAGCCCAGCCGGTCGAAATAATAAGCTTGCTTTAATTTGATTTTAATTGGAGTCAGTGGTCTTTTCTTGCATCCTGGTCTAACAGTAAGCATGATCTGGCTCATTCCTTCATCTTTTGCCCAGATTTCTACAACTATCTAATGCACACTCCTGCCTATTGTGAAATGACTTTGGATTAGCTCATCCAAATTCTCTCTTTGTATTTAAAAATACAAAAAGCCATTTTGAGAGCAAAGGAGGAAGAAGCACTAACATCTTTCCACCACATTCTTTCACCTCAAGCCTCAGAATAGGTCCTGGATGTATAGGGCGGAGAGGAGATAAGGGGATCTGTCCATTGTGAATCAGCTCTGTGTGTGCTCTGATGAATTCTTGCTCATGTGGAAGAGAAACAGGCCACCAACTGAAAAGAGTAAGGGCAATGCCAAGCACAGGTGTGCTCAACGGCCAGGCTTCAGATCCTATCTCTACCCTCTCCTTCTATTAGAGCAGAAACTCACCCTATTTCTCCCTTACATAGGAGACTTATTTTTCATTCATTTATTTACCTCTTAAAACCAGAGCAGAGCATTCAGGCTCTAAAACCATGGAATTAACTGCTTTAACCTTCATCAGAGACAAGTTTAATAGTACTGGGGAATCATGACATTCTTTGATTTACTGAGTTGTTAAAAATAAGTTTACTCAGTATTTACCAGAAACAGTCTATGTGATTAATTTTCACTATTCTTTTAAAAATTGTCAATACTTAAAGGTAAATTGTGCTAACCTCTTGTCTTTTTCCAAGGTAATTTCTAAGAGAACTTTAGGAAATTCCCTATACATTGCCCCTTACTCCCTCAGATATAGCTTCCCAACAGTCCCCATAGAGAAGTGTCTGAAGGGCAAATCTGACTATGCCTCTTCTTTGCTTAACAATCATTCACTTTACCTCCAGGATTATAACAGCCGTCAGAATCCCTTGTGCTGGGCTGATGACCTCCTTTCCCCTGCACTATGTACCTATCACACTTAGGCAACGCTTCAATTCACTGCACCAACCATGCTGGGATTTTTTTTCCAGCACTCTCTTTCTATTTCTCTTCCTAGAATATTCTCCCACCCTCCCCCTTGTATTAACAAATACATGCTAACCTTTTAGGACACAGATTAGTCTTCACTTTTCTAATACCTTCCTCTGATCTCAATGACTCCCTGTTCTCTCTAACCTGGGTATAATTGTGTCATGCTGTGTTCCCTGTCATGTTTTAATTTTCTATCTATATGTTTGTTCCTTCACGGATCTATTCATCTATCACCAGATGCTGGCAGATAGACTAACAAGAATAGAAGTCCATTAGTGTTTCTGAAATAAATGTATAAATGAAAGACTTAAGCCCATCAGGATTGGTTTCCTCTGCAGAACTTCGATAAGGCCTGAAGGTGGCAGTATCTAGCCAACTCGCCACCCCACCGCAAAAAAAAAAAAAAAAGGAAAAAAAAAAATCAATGAGTAAGTTCAAAATACTGCTCCCTTTCACATGTCCCTTGGGACAATTTTCCAGAATCATATTTATCTTTTTCAGTAGATTTCAAGAAAATGAAGGCACTGTAGAAAATTTTGTGCTTGATGGTGAAGGATATGCAAAATGACAACCCCCAAGACAAGGAAATAACAAATCCCAAAACTGTCTGACCCCAAGGAGGAGGATCCAGGAGGAAGGTAATCCTTAATTCTCTCCCAGTCAATCCTTTCCCAGTAACAATGAGAAAAAATCAAACATTCACCCCTTCTATGTTCAATCCCCAGCATCTCCACCAAAAGCAAACTTTCATCCCTCTCTAGTAGCAATGAGTCCTGAAGGGACTGAGGCTAGGCCCTGAACTTTAACACCACCACCTCCTCATTGTCAATTAGTCCTGGAAGGAGGAAAAAGTTAAAAATGAAGCTCTGGGAAACAATGAATTCCAGAGGAAGAAGAAAAGCAGTGAATACCAAGTTCTGAGCTTTCGAGTTTCAGACTTTTTACAACTTTTTTCCTGGCTGCCCAAATTGACACATTCTGCTTCGGTCTCCAATGATTAAGCTACCCACTTTGTAAACTATAAAACACAACCCCCTTCTGTAACTGGGGGTCATTTTCCACCCCTAAAATGAGCCCCTCTGATGCCTGATTGATTGATTCTGCTGCTGAGTAAAGGAAGCTTCCTGATCCGTTTGAGGTCTGCTCCTGTTTTTTGATTTTTTGTGCTTACAGATGAAGACACCAAACAAACCCTGAAACGCTGAACCAGCTAAACATCTTGTATAACACCCATCCTTGACTTCTGTCATACAGGACCTAGGAGCTGCTTCAGAAAACGGAGAAATGTAAAGAAATTGGTCTAATCAGTACACGAACCATTTTATAGCTTACAAATAATTTTGTAGCCTGAGACAGTTATTCGGGGAAATTGTTGAAACTCCCCTGTGAGTCCAAGGTTTTTCTTTGTATATATTAGTTACATTTATTTACATTTAATCCTGTTGGATGATTCCATTCTTCCTATCTAAGTGTTCTACGTCCTCCACACAATTCCTCAACTATAGGTTCTAAATAAATCTAGATTGAAAGAACAGTTTAGTTCAGTGTTCTCTAAGCATTTGCTTTGGTGGTTATGGTTGTCTTCATTTTATATTTTCTCTGGGTCTTGTGTCAGTGAACTTGTAACTGGGTAGTCCAGACATTTGAATTTTCATCACAGTGAGGATCATGCTGAATAATCATTGCTCACTAATTTGGTGAAAAACTTGAAGGTGGGACCTATACCAGTCAGGGTCCTAGCTGGGGACAATCAGTATAGTCAAATTAGAGTTTAAATGAAGATAGTTTAATAAAGGTTCCCCCACCCAGAAGAATAAGCAAGATCAACCACTCCAATAAGGGATGATAAAATTTTCAGGGTCTTGTTAGAGTAGCAAACCATTACTGCCCCTAGGCCTGAAGGTCAAGGTCAGGAAAGAGAGTTACCAAAATCTGGTAAGTGCTGTAGCCGTTGAAGAGGGGCTGCCATGCAGGAGTATTGGCCAAAGTGAGAGAGAATTGCTGGTGAGGTGATTTACCAATTCAAGGCAGAAGTGAATCCATGAATCCTGACTGGGATCACCTTCATTCATTACCAGCAATTCATCACCAATTCCTTTATCATCATGATAGTTCCCTTGTAAAATTCAGATTCTGAGATCATTTGTCTTCCAAACAAAATTGTAAAGCAATAGCTATTTTTCTCATTGTTATTAATGAAAAATTGCTTCTTATTAGCACAAAATAACTAAGGTTACCAGCCAACAGAAAGGTAGCTGGACCTTTTTGTTATTCTCTGCATTCTTATCAAGGGGGGGGGGGAACGAGGAACACTTGCTTTCTTAATATCTGTTAGATATGGAAAATGGAAAACCCCAAGATAGCGTGGACTGGGAAAGGGGAGTGGAAAACAAAGCCATACCTTGATACCTTTAATCTCTTTCAAGATAAATCCTTTTCAGATGCTGGCCACTGGTGGGGAAAAAGTGTTTCATCAAACCTAGAATGATAATCTCTGGGAAACACTAATCTTTTCCTACATAAATTCTCTCCAGATACTCGCCACTGACCCCCAACCCCAAAACCCAAATTCCTGAGTTCCCAAACTGACAAGCTCAGTCTAACCTATAAAAGCTCAAACTCCTCTTTTGGCCAGTGGCTCATTTTCTACTGGAGAGTAGGTCCATTCTCATGGGTGCAACCTTGTTTCTGAATAAAAGGCTGAGAGGATCTGTGAAGTTTGTGCTAACAATATCTAAATTAGCTCTTTACCCCTGATACTCTTTCACAAAGCCACAGGATTCTCTAAGATCAAGAACCATTTGAAATATGTCTTAAGACGAGAAAACTGGTGTTCTGAAAGGGAATTAAAGTCACTGTAAAATTTGCAATTGACTTTTGTGTCACCATCCCCTTTTATAATATAAATGTATTATGTTTTTATATGTGAAAAAGATTAGTTATCTTGAAGAGGAAAATTACTGGGACAAAAGAATCCATTTTCTCTACCATAGTGACCAATTTCTTGAAAGATGGAAAGAATGGTTTAGCTCAGTATTCCCTAAGCATTTGCTTGGTGTTTGCAGTAGTCTTCATTTTATATCCTCTCTGGTCCTTAATGCTTGGAACTCTTAGCAGGGAATTCAGCACCACACTTCAAATCATATCCACTTTGCTGCACAGCTGAATTCTGTCTTTTCATTCACACAGTTTCTTTCCCTGAAAACTGCAAGTGGATAACTAGCTCTTTGAGAATAAAGGCCACAAAGTTGCTTATTTTTTATTGCACTATTTTGAATATTGGTTTTGAGATAACTGTTTTGTAAACACTTTTCATATTCTGGGAACATACAAGGCTGCATTCAGTTGTAAGAGGTTTATAGGTATTACAGGCCCAATGTTGGTAATGAGTTTATAGTCTGTTTCCTATCTAGTATTGGTTGATTTCTCTCTAGAACTTTGTGTCCACAATCTGGTTTCAGGAAGAACCAAGACCATAAGTACTTTTTTTTTTTTGTCATCAACCATTAACTTTTAAAGTGTAGTTAATCCTGTGAATGATTAACTCAGCTTTTAGGGACCCAATGTTTGAAAATATGGTAGAAATAGCCAGGATAAACTTTGTTCTGTTTTAACAAGTATTCCCAAAGTGAGGATCAAGTTTGCAGTCAAAGATCCTTTGAAAGGACAGAGCATTCCCTGAGGGAGTGGGTGGACATTGGACTTAGGAAACACTTGTTGGCCTCTTTACAACTTTATGGAAAAAAGTGTTTAAAAGTAGTAAAAAGAGTATTTAAAGTGGCTGCAATGTTCTCAATTGACTTAGCACTGGTCTCAACAAGGCCAATGGGGCCCATCTGCCTTGGTCACAGTTGAAGAGAGAAATCTGTGCTGATTGCATTTGGCAGTGGGTGCCTCAGTTCTCAGCTGCTTGGCCACAAAGCAGCTGTGGTGGACATCCAAATTGGACTTTATTATTTTGGTATGGTCTTGTGTACAGCGAGAGAACTTCCTTTCTTCTCCTAGCTGGGAACATGGATTTGGCTAAGAAAAAAGGAGTTTCTTGGAATTGTGGATGTTGGGAAAAGGGGAGGTGATGCCTTTTGAGAGGGGAAGGACAAGCAGGACATATGCCCACAACTCTTTGAGGGTGAAGGACATTCTCCTTGGCCTTTGAGATTTTGGATCATAATGACTTTGTGTTGCTCTATAACTGGGGAGATAAAAGGAGATTATTTACTATATTCTCAGTATTATGTCTGCATCCCACAAATAGGGACGACGGCTTGTTGTATAAGTAGGTGGGAGAACATAGTCTCTGGTGAAGAAAAATGAGAGTGAGTTCTTCAGTACTCAGGGCCTTATGCTCCAGTTTATTTCCCCACCCACTTGATATCCAGTTGCCACACATAGGAATGGTGGGTCAAGTTCTAAATGTCAAATGACTGTCTTGTTAATATATGTATTTGAGTATAGCTGTAAGAGTTAATATGGATTGTTAACTTGTTGGATTAAGTGATTTTGTGTGTATTGATGAGGGTGTTTTCAGAGATTCTTGATGTGTGGGATAGCAAATTGAGGGCATAGTCCCACCCTGAATGTGGGGAATACAGCCCAATGGGCTTGGGCTTGAACAGATGGAGACCAAAAGAAAAAGGAAGCCAGTGTGGATACAGCACCATTTTCTCTTTCTTTCTCTACGGTAGGTGTTTGGACTCCCGTTCCAATCACCTGAGGACATCACATTCTAGTTCTTTCACTCTTCCAAAGGGGACTCTGACTAGTGACTCTCCACAGGGAGTTCTCAGGCCCCAGGCCCTGATGGGATTACGTCATTGGTGTTTCTTCCTCTGAGGCTCCAACTTCTTGGACTGGGCAGCTACGGATGCCTCTAGCTTTCCATTCTGAAGACTGCCATTGTGGACTATCCACTTTCTGATCCTGTAAAACAATATAAGAAACCTGCTTTCATAAATAACAGTGTTGTTGGTTATGTTCCTCTAGAGAACACTCACTAATACAGTAGCCCATGGAGGACTCAGGCCCTAAAGTGAAACTTCAGGTAAATAAATGTTTCAACAAGTCCTTACTCTAGTTTAACCTGTGGAGTGTTTGTTGTGATATGAATGTTTATGTACCCCCTAAAATTTGTATCTTGAAATCCTAACCACCAAGGGGACAGTGTTAGGAGATGAGGTGACTAGGTTATAAAAGCAGTTAAATGAGATTGGTATCCTTATAAAAAAGAGGCCTGGAAAAAAAATCCCTTGCTCCTCCCACCATGTGAGGACTCACTAAGAAAGTGTAGGTGTCCCACCAGATACCCAATCTGCCATGCTATGAAAAATAAGTTTCTGTTGTTTATAAGCCATTTATTTATGGTATT